CGTCTGATGGACTCAAGAGACATCAAGATGACTGACACAGAGTAGCTACCCTGGAAGGGCTCATTTTCTATTTAGGATTGATAGTGGAGGGGTAGAACCCAGATTTAGACAGAAACAATGGTGATAAGAATAACAATAAAAGTACATAAGAACGTAAGATAATACAAAAGTTAGAGAAGCCAAGTCTGTGGTTTTCCAAAGGGCTTCCACAGAAAAGGCGTTTTCTTATAAATGCTTGTAAGCCGGGCATGGTGGCACTCAGAAGGCTGAGGCAGGAGGATCGCTGTGAGTTCGAGACCAGCCTGGGCTACACAGTGAGTTCCAGGTCAGTCTCAACTACATAGTGAGACCCTGTCTCAAAAAAACCAAAACAAAACCAAAAAAAAAAAAAAATCCTTGTGACAATTTGCCTGGCAAGCAAAGAGTTATTGAAAGTATTCATGAAGGATAGCACAAGAACAGAGATTAGAACAACCGGTATGTTAGGGGCATAGCATGAAGCTGTATGTGCTTGGGGTAGGGAGTGACCGTGAGAAGGTCAGGGGAGGTGAGAAACAAGAAACAAAAGATAGAATGTCCCATAGGTAAGAAACAGGTTGATGACGTACTTCCGAGATGCACTGTTGAAAGAACGCTGCTGTTGATACAGAGGGGCTGGAATGAGGAGAGAGACTAGTTAAGGAGTCATCTAGGGAAGAGATTAAAAATCTTCAATTCCAGAATTAAACATGTCAAGGAGGGATGCTAAGTAACAATGAGTCACTAAAACTGTAAACTACTGTGTAAAACCACAGAAATGTACCTACCCTAACCAGGAGCCTGTTGTGACAGTCCATCCCAGTTTAATAGACCCTTCCTGGGGCCACGGTGAAGCACGGTGCCCTCTGCAGTCGGTGTGTGCCACCACCGTGAAGGCCTCGTGACCTCTTGGGATTTATTATAAAGGCTACTTACGGAGCCAGGTTGATTCACCCTCTTTAAATGTCATAAAATAAATGTAGAATGCTCATTTTATCTTAAGTACCCTCTAGAAGACAGTTGCCCTTTGTTCTACTGCCAAAGATAGCACCAATACAACTTTTGTGAAATTGGTACCATGGTGAAATTTCAAGCTATGGCTGAGGATGGCTGTGATTTTACAGGCTTCTCACCGAGGTGAATGAGTTGATGACTTTGCCACAGCATTTTCAGCATTCCAGGCTTGTGATCAAATGGAATCTGGCTCAAGTTTCTTTTGATTTTCATTTTTAGAAACTTGTGATTAGATATGTAAACATTTATAAATATGCATATTTGGATTTGACAGTGATTCCACTGTCAAATACCTGTGCTAAATCCATCAATGAGACAACTGAGGAAATTGTTTCTGGAAAAGTTTTTATTGTTCTTCAGTGTTCCTCAGGCAGGAAGCCACAGGAAATAATGTATTGTGGTGCATATTTCCCTGCAGGATTTGGTGCCATTCATTGTGTAAAATTTTGCTTTCCAGCTGCCCGTAGTTCACATTTTTGTACTTACTTTTCCTTCCAGGATAATTTGATGAAGTCAGTTCCTCACAGGTAGAAAATGTCTTTTTGTTTTTTAAGCCAGACCCCCCCCCCAACACACATTGGAAGATAAACTTAATTAAAAAGAAAAAAAAAAGTAGGATTATTTTGAAATATGAAATAACCATGATTGTAATATGAAATAGTCATTAATTTTAATAATCCTATAGGATACATGCTTTTGGTTAAATAAAAGCAATGTCTGTCAAAATTTTAGATGAGTTTAAGATATAAGTTAGAACCTGAAGTATGGAAATGAAAACAATCTTTTATGGAGATTTCTTGCTTTTATCAGATATGATTTTACTTTAAAATTTCTCTGCTTGCCTTTTATTCTCAGTTCTCTGCATTCGTTATTAAACAGTGAAATATTTTGCCCTGTTCTTAGTATTAGATACTTTACTAGTAATATTAGGTTAGAACTAATATTATGACATTAAGTAACTGAGTTTTTGAACACTCCTAACAGTGTGTGTGTGTTTTTTTAATTCCTGCCTACATACTAGAATCACATGGGGAACTTTAACAAAATACCAATGTACAGACCCAGAGTTACTGATTTGCTTGGTATGGGGTGAAGTGTGGTTGTTCACATTTCATAAAATCTCCCAGGCTGATTCTTAATATACAACGGGGTTGAGACCACCAGTCTGTACTGTCCTTTGCAAATGTATCCCAGGCTCTTTTCCAAGCTGCCAAATCTGACTTCCCTGTCACCCATTTATCAGCATTGTGATTTCCAAAACAAGGGGCCCAAGATGATCTATTAGAATATGTGTGTGTGTGTGTGTGTGTGTGTGTGTATAAATTATA